ACTCACCGGTACGCAGTACCGGCACTTCTACATTTTACTCTTAAGCGTACCTGCACTTTTTCTTGCGTACCGCTACTTCTCGCATGTAGCCGGTACTCTACTGACAGAAAAAGCGTCACGGCCGTTTAACCCCCTGCACACATCTGTGGCGCGTTACGGCTGCGAAACGGCTACCGGAGCTGATCGCGGCCACCGCAAGCGTGAGCAGCGCGTATTTTTTTCGGCTTGCATGTTAATCAATGAGTGCATTCACACCGCGAGGAGGAGCAGCGCGTGAGCAGCAGTGAAGCGGGGGTTCGGCGCCGAGTTGTACTACTCACGCTCATTTAAAGTGAAAGCACACTTTTGATGGAGAAAATAAATATGATTTCACACAAAAAGTGCCCAAAATGCACAGAATTTGCATGTCTAGTCACTAGTGTGTTTTAACTAGTGGTGCAACGGATCATCATTGATCCGTGATCCGTTCGGATCAATATCTTCGGTTTGGCACACACGTGATCCGCGGATTGATTTATGAAAAAAAAAAAAATCGTACGCATGTTCAGTTCACACACACATCTCCACAGCGTGGTCATGGCGAGCGGAGGAACGGAGGAGCTTGAACGCCCCGCGTCATTTAAATCCCCTGTATGGGAGCATTTTGGCTTCCCTGTCAAATATAATGATGAAGGAAAGAGGTTAGTGGATAAAACCGTGACGGTGTGTGTAGTAGGGTGGCCATATGTCCGGATTTTGGCCGGACAGTCCGGAGTAGCGCTGAATTGGCCTAACAAAATTAACTTATAAAAATCCTGCATATTGATAGCGGCTCCCTGATGCCCGCAAATTAGTTAAAATCTCCCGGAATCTAGAGTGCGCATGCGAGACAGAACATACTGTGCTCCAAACCGTGTAGCGCGCACGGCAGAGAGGGAGAGAGCGAGAGACCTTGCGTGTGTGCGCATGTAAGACAGAGAGCATCCTGATTGGCCTGTTTCAGTAAGTCAACCAGTCAACACCCCCCCCCCCCCCCTAACATCTCTAAAAATAAGATATTATGCCTTGTGCACTTTAAGTTGATTTTTTATATTTTAATTTAATAATTTAAAAGTGTTAATAAACAAAAAGACAAAACTTATGTTTATTTGTCTTGTCTTTTTTGCTGATCCGAAAAATGATCCGATCCGTGATTCTGATCCGAGAAACAATCCGAACCGTGAGTTTTTTGATCCGTTGCACCCCTAGTTTTAACAAAAACTGGAGTAGGCTACGTCAGAAAAGAAAATGAAGACTCAAAAATATTTATACTAGATTTAGCCATTTAAACTTGTCTTAATTATTCAGTTTGGGTAAAACTAGGCCTATATGTTTTATTAATAAATAAAACGAGCAAACTAGTCAGAATATCTTTCTTTTAGTTTATGTAATAGCCTAAACAGATACATGCCCAAATCAAACCCGAGTGTAGGCTATTTTAATGTTTGCTGTTGTAAACATGTATGACTGAAAAGACAATATCAGAGCTGTTTTCTTGGTTGTTTTTGTTGTTTACCATTTACATGCAATTGTTGTATACCTCCCATCTTAACAAACATCAAGAATAAAGTTTATTAATGACCAACTTCTAAAAAGAGAATGTTTCTTTGTAAATAAATGCGCGCACACACGCACACACAACTTGTTTAAATACATTTATCTTGTTAATAAATAACAATACATTGTTGTTGTACCAGCAATATTTCCAAGTTTTGTTTTTCACTGTAGAAATTTCAAATGTCATGATTTGTCAATGCAAGAGAGTACCGGTGTACTGACGAGAGTTCTGACGATTTGTGCTGCCTTGTCGAAAAATGCTACCGTAGCGCGAATCGATCACAGAATGTCGATTAATATTAGGCTATATGAAATACAATTATGATACAATTCTAAGTTATGAGTAGCTACTGTATACTGTAGACAACTGTTTTTATTTTAAAAACGGTGTGAAAAGTAAAAATGATCAAATATTCATCTTTGACATGTCAAAGCACACCTTTCCTTAGTAACTGAAACTTTCAGTTTTTCTTGTTCAGCTAGCTGACCGTACAAATATTCATGGTAGTTAGCATTTTTTAAAGGGAAATTACATTATCACACATGGGTGTCTGGAAGGTGTCACACTCTTCTGAGGTCTGGAAGAGGAAAAAGACGGATCTTAATCTATAAAATTAAACAAGATAATAGGCTAAATGTTTTGTCTTTGAACTTTCATTATACAAATCAAATTACACACCAGTGAATTCAAAGTGTTGAGTGATGTAGATGAGTGATGCAGATGAGTGATGTAAATTACCTCTGCGCTTGTTAGAGAAAGTCCCGGTCGCGCGCGCACTCTCATCGTCTTCAATCTGTCTTGCTCTCTGTCTCTCTCTCTTCCTCCCTCGCGCATATTAATGAATTGAGTTGACTGTTTCTCGACCTTTTACCATCGTGTCAATTCTCATAGATATGCAGTGTCCACAAGCAGGAAGCAAAGAATCCCGAAGAGAATAAACAGTCCAAGAGTAATCCACGGGAAGATAATTACACAGGAAAAGACGGTCAGAGATGTTCTCCAGGGAAAAACAAAAATTCACTTCTTCTTCTTTCTTTTTTTGGCGGTTGGCAAACAGCTTTAGGTGCATTACCGCCACCTTCTGAATAGGAGTGTGGGTCTGAATTCCACATCTCTACACTCTATGGAATAAAAAATACTGTTCCCAAGAGTTTCTTTGCAATATATAATTTACACTCAGTTTTATCTTTATTTCCGCTAACTGTTCTATAAGTGTTTGTCTTTCTTGATTGTATTTAGGACAATGTTCTATAACATGTTCTATAGTTTCTTGATTACCTCACAGTTACCATCAGCATATTTCCTCATTATAATAATGTGCTGTTCAATCCTGTATGTCCATATCTCATTCTAGAGATAATATCCTCCTCCTGCTTGTTTCTGCTGGTATTTCTGCTCCAATTTTTTTTTTTTTTAATTTCATATAAATGTCTGCCCGTGCTTTAATTATCCCAGAAATATTTGGCCGTGCCCGTGCTTTCATTATACCAGACATATAAATATTTCCATTTTCCATTCCATTTTTCCATTTCCATTTATTTTTAATTTCTGCTTTACTATATTGTACTTGAATATTAATTCTGTCTTGCTTTTTTTTTTTTTGCCTGTTTAGCACATTTATCTGCAATTTCATTCCCCATTACTCCACATGGGCTCTACATGGTCTCATGGGACCCATCCCAACACAATATTGACTCCTGACTTTATCAATCTACTCACTAAATGCATTATCATAAACAATATCTTGCCTGGATTCAGAATGCATATTTTTTATACTTAGTAAAAATGAACTTGAATCAGACCATATTACTACACCTTTCAGTCCATATTCCTCCACCCATAATAAAGCCAACAATATAGCATTCATTCAGATACACAGCAAGATCATTAGCCTTAATCAGTTTTAATTCAGGGATTGCATATGCCACTCCTACTCTCTTGTTTATTTTTGATGCATCTGTATCTTAATATTATTTCCATATTTTCCCCCCCACATACATTTCAAATGTACAGTTATCTACAGTATGGTAATCCCATTCTCTCTTTCTTCCAGTAACGTTAGATCTATTGCTACCTCTACAAGCATCCAAGGAAGAACACACACATATGCTACCGTTGGACTTATACGTAACATATTAACTTCCATTTCTCTAGCAATATTCTCTATTGTCCAACCAAAACTTGAGCTCTGTTCCCTTTCGAAGGGAACTCAACAATACGTCATCGACGCTATGGGGAACGCCTCAGGCGTGACAGGTGTCTGAAATCACTATCAAATCACGTCAATCACATTGACCGGCGACAGCCCGTGAATCATTAACGTGAATGATTAACGTGCGACCTGGAAGTATATAAGGGCGCCTTGCAAACATGACAAATCATCTTTTCGTCTTCAGGGACTGTTTTGTCTGTAACTGCTTTGAAAATCAGGTAATTATGAAATGCTTTCAGAAGTGTGTAGACCCGTGCTCAAGATATTTGAAGCCGGGTGACACACGTGAACTGTGCATTTTTTGTCTGGGAAGGAAGACGCGCACAGGCAGTTCTCGAGGGAACTGCCTGTACAAATTGTGATCGCGCCTGTCCCTCTTCTCGAGAGAAGAGGGTTCAGCGTCTGGATGTCACAGATGAAGCTCGCCGATCGCCTTGAGAGGGGTGTAATCCTCTCAGACGATGCGGCGGCTGACGAGAAGCTGCAATTGGATGAAGTAAAAAAAAAAAAAAAAATAGTCCGGCAGCAAGTGCTCTCCCGGACAAACAGGAGATGGCTGATGAGGGTGGTAAAGTAATAATAAAATATTTTCCTGTATCTTCTCAGCCACCCTGCCCCGTGTATGCTGAGCTGGTTGGTATTATAGAACGCGCCGCGGGCAGGCTTCAGCTGCCGTGGCTGCTCGTTGGGGGAAAAATCGCTCGCGATGAGAGCGGTTTTTCCCCGGTCATAGAACCACCAGCTCAGGTGAGCCTTTCATTTCTTCCCGATCTCATACTGAGATCGAGAGGACATTGAAGAACCCATACTCTGCCTGTATCCACCAACATCAGTGGGCTAGTCTCGCTGATGTTGAGAGGATAGGAGAGCGTGGGTATGCGTCGATGGGAAAACAATCGACACTGAGAGCTCAAAACCCTGCCAGTGGAATGGCAGAGAATACACGTCAGCGGGTCAGGCCGGTGCTAGCCTGCACATCATGGCGGTGTTGCAGGTACACCAGGCCGATCTCGACCAGGGGGTGGGGCCCCTGAGGCGGTTACTGAGCTGCGCCGCAAATGAAAAAATTTATGTATATATATATATAGCTCTCCTGGATGGCGATGATACTGTCCACGGAGAGACATTTGTGGTTGAACCTGGCGATTTCGGGAAGAAAGAGAAAGGCTTTCTCCTCGATTCGCTGGTTTCGCCCTCTGAGCTTTTCGGCACCTCCGTGTTGGCGGTGGTTGGAAAGTTCGGAGAGGGGAAGGCGCACTCAGCTGTATCCAGGACATACATACCGCTGAGATCCGTGTCCATGCCCAGACAGATGGGAGGGCCTGGCCTATCATGGTCCGAGGACCTTAGATGAGGCCAGAGAGCCAGTGTCACCTCTCGTGCGCCTCCTCCATGGAGTAGTAGGTCGCAGAGGAGGCGTGACTCCCGCAAGAAGAGGGATCTGAGGGAGGTGATCCGGCACAAACGCACGTTGCGTTGGTCTTGGATCATCTTCCCTGAGGGCGTGATTATATATTTGCCCTTTCCTCTCTTCCCCGACTCCCCAGGCGCTTCTTACATCAGGCCTGCGGCTGGGCTCATGGTTAGAACAATGTTCTGATGGCCCGCCTCGGCTTGGTTAGTGAGAGTGCCTCTTTCAGGTATGTAAAGGTGGTAGACCCCATGTTCATGAAGAACTGTCTGGTGAGTCTTCACTTTGCACGCCGCAGGTGAGCTGCTGGTCTTTCAAAGAGTATTTTTTGTGATTAAAAAATAATATGTTTCTCTTTACAGACCTCGTTCCCTGTATAGAGTTATGGGGCCATGTCAAGGTAATAAGGTAAGAGAACTTTTTTGGATTATCAGGGCCCTGAAGTTCCCCGTTAGTTGGCCAGAATGATAACTATGTTAGCCTTCGGGCTATTAGCCACCTCAGGGTAGAGTAGTTGGTCTCTCTCTGATAGAATGTTTTACTTAGAGTGTTGACTGACGCTAGAGCTTCAGATAGATCTTATGTCCGGCCCATGGGACCGTTTTGACTTTTCTGAGTATTTCACCCCTTGAGCTCTGTTGAGGTTTCATTAGGTTGAGCGTTCTGCAGCCCTTTTTTATGGAATAATACAGACTATATTCTTTAGTAGGCTGTGGCTCCTCTGAGCCCTCAGATAGATCTATGCTTACAGGTTGGCCCTCACCAGGGCCGCCTTTGTAGCTGGCCTAGGCTGTGCCAGGGATATTAGAGGCGTTCTGCTAAAATTAACATTTCTTCCTCTGACCCTTCACTTTGTGAATGTAGGTTTTTGGCATCCCTGTATAATCAGCCTCCTCCCATGGGAGTCGTTAGGCCAAGGCCTTCTCAGCATTCTGGGGTGACTAGAGTAATGCAGCGTGGTGCAGAGGATGGTTTATAAGGACATGGTAGGCCTCAGTTAGGGCTCCGTGGTATATAAGTCCTTTTGAGCAGGGTTAGGCCGTCTTTCGCTTCACGAAGAAGACTGAGTTTCCTGCCCGACCCTGCCGTGCAGAACTGGCCTACGGATTTAGGCCGCCAGTATGGGCTTCACTTAACTCGCTGAGCTACTGCTCGAGCGCTGGGTTGTAGGTGGTTGGCTTTCATTCAAGCCCCACTCCCCTAGGTTGGGCACAGATACATTTCTGTCACCCCTAGAGCCGCTGGCAGGCCCACCCCCTGGTAACCTCAGGGTGAGGTGTGACTATTCCCCTGTGATTCAGGGTAGGTCTGAGTACTTCACTCCCAGTTCTGTTTATCCTACCTCGCACCACTATGGCTCGGGTCGAGTATGAAGTAAGCCTTCACTTCTTCTTCTTTGGTCGAAGTACGCTCCCCTGTAGCCAGAGCATTGCCCTGAGCTGACGCCCATGCATAGATGGTAGGCCCCTGACTAACTGTGGCCTCCGTTGAGGCAGAGTGGCATATGTTGTACTCCCCTTGTTTTTTAGGGTGCTAAGCTCTCTTGCTGAGTACACTGCCATGGGCAATGTGATTAGGCACCAGGATGCTGTAGGCGCTGTGTAAACAGCTTATCTGCCAACGAAGGCTGCGCCATCAGGTAGTAGGCCTCAGCAGGCCTCCTTGTATGGGCAGCTCCCAATAGGGCGCTGTAGGCCACTTCTCGAGAGAAATGGTTGGCCTTGGTGGTATGGGCAGTTGGCTCACCGGTGGGTAGTAGGCCTTAAACAGGCCTCCTCGGAGGTGAGTCCCAACATTGTGGGACATACTTTATAGCCGCTACAGGTAGCTAGCTGTACTAGGCCGCCTGTGGGTGGGCCCAATAGTTACGTTGGTGTGGTATGGTTCCCAACAGTGTTCCTTTGTAGCAGAATTGACTTGCTATCAGCTAGTAGGCCCAACCAGGCCTCCCTGATAGGCGAGTCCCCAGCTGGTTGGCCTTAGCAGGCCGCCTTGGAACTGTCACCCGAACTCAGCTACCAGTTGCTATCAGGTAGTAGGCCACTCAGGCCTCCCTGAAGGTGAATTCCCATTTAAGATGGTTATCAGGTAGTAGGCCTCACCAGGCCTCCCTGGAGACAAGCCCAAGGACAGACAACTGGACAGCTAGCCTGAATTTCTATCGGGTAGCAGAAAAAGCTCCCAGATATTATGGCTGTCAGGTAGTAGGCCTCACCAGGCCTCCCTGAGGGTGAGTTCCCCACGTACTATCATTATCGGGTAGTAGGCCTCTCTAGCCCTCCCTGTAGGTGACCACATTCTGTTGCTATCAGGTAGTAGGCCTCACCAGGCCTCCTTATGAGTGGTTCCCTAGCAGTGCTGGGTTTAGGAAGCTAGTGGCCTCTTGCTATCATTTCAGCTGGCCTTATTAGGCAGCTGCTGAAGGCGAGCTTGCGCCCTGGCTCGACTAAAGTGTTCATCCTCTGCTACTGGTTCCCTCTCGGAACCTCTTTCCTGCCTACAGCCTGGTTTTGCCTACCAGGGGGACCATATGCTCCCCTCATTGAAGGTCGCTGTGAGCATGCGGACTCCTGAGTCTGGTCAGACGGTCGTAGGCCTCTCGTGAGGCCTCCCAGTTAGATCAGTCCTTAGGCCTTCACAGGCCTCCTCAGTGTTTTGAAACACAGACACTGGGTTGATCCGTGGATCGAGTAGAGAAACTCCCCTCGCTAGCAAGGGTTGGAAAGCTTGGAAAGTACTCTCTGGGATATCCCGTCTCTGAGATCCGGGCCGAGTGGTTCACTGCCAGCTTCGCAGTCCCTCGGGTTGGATGCCTAACTTAAGGCAAGTGTCCAGAGGCTCTGTCTTCGGACAGACAGGAAGTGGCCAGACTAAGTGTCTATGCTCTGACGCCAGGTCAGGCCATCCTGGTGGCACTTCGGGGTGAGTACGTTCCCCTGAATAGTGACTGGCTGGGGTTCCTTCGGTTTCCCTAGCCACATTCCTTAGAAGGGACCCCTTCTGATTGAGGTTGTGGTCCTAGGCCTTTGAGCAGGCCCAGGTAGGCCTTTCATTTAACTATGTTTATGGAGGTTTTCCTGTGAGGCTTATAGCTTGGGCTATGACCGTAGGGAATGATGTCACTGACAGCCCAGTGTGACCTGAGGGTGAGTGGATCTAGCATTTCATTTGAATTTGGTGGTTCGGACAGTTGTCACTGCCTGAGGGCATGCACTCCCCTTAGCATGGCGGCGTGGGTATATCGTTCCCCATAGCGTCGATGACGTATTGTTGAGTTCCCTTCGAAAGGGAACGTCTCAGGTTACGACTGTAACCTTTGGTCCCTGAGAACAGGGAACGAGACAATACGTCTCCCTGCCATGCCTCGGGGCTTGCCTGCTGTACAGTCCCTTCAGACGATAAGGTGATTTGTCATGTTTGCAAGGTGCCCTTATGTACTTCCAGGTCGCACGCTAAATCATTCACGTTAATGATTCACGGGCTGTCGCCGGTCAATGTGATTGACGTGATTTGATAGTGATTTCAGACACCTGTCGGAAAAGGCGTTCCCCATAGGCGTTCCCCATAGCGTCGATGACGTATTGTCTCGTTCCCTGTTCTCAGACGTTTTTTCTCCTTCTCTTGACAGGGCAATAGAAATGAGGCTCTTCTTCTTCATCTGTGTTTTTTTATTGGCAGTTTGCAAACAAAGTGCATTACCGCCATCTTCTGGATTGAGGTGTGAACTCATTGGGATGTCATTTATGTTATATGTTACTAAACTAAAAATAAATAAAATAAATAAAATTAAAAATAAAAGTAAAATAATAAAATCTAAATCCTGAGTTTCTTTCATAAAGATCATAACATCCTCAATTATAGATTATAATTGCAGGCAAACTCAATAGGTTTTTAGAAACTCAGTCCATTATTTCAACTGAGAAGACTGAGAGGGGATCTGAAGTTAATTTTTGTTCAAATAATCTGTTGGTAATCGGATTGACGGCTCAATCGGACTGAAAAGCCTTCATGTAAACACCTTAATCGATCCGATTGAGCTCGATCCGAATGAAATTTCCATCCGATTGAAAGGGGTGGTTTATTCTGTTTCTAATCCGATCGAGAGGATATGTGAACACTTAATCGGATTGAAAACCGAAACTGAAAGGACTTGCGTGTGCAGTGACGTTGAAATAGCGTAATGTGCGGAACGTCATTCTAAAGTTCTGCTTTCACTGCGTCTGGGAAGTGGAGCTGGACAATGTCCCACAATCCTCGTTTCGGATTCTCATCTACAGATGACTGGTTTTGGGCATTTTTCTGCGTGATAAATATAAGCAGCACAGAACAACGGTTCAGATGCTCATTGTATCCAAATTATGACCAGAAATGGATAAATATTAAGTCTGCTGTTTAAAACAAATAAAGAATCAATGTATGAGAATTGTACAGTTATTATACATATATCTGTATATGTAATAACAGGCTTTATGTAAAAAAAAAACCACACACCTGATCAAATTCGGGGAATTGTTTTATATATTAATAATAACCGATTGTTATTGTTTTTCTGCATTTGTTTCCAGTCTCTTTTAATTTAGGCATTTCTTTGAGCAAGCGTTCAATCAAAATAATTTTCAATAATATTCTTGTTCACCAAAATATAAAACACAAATCTTGTGGCATTCGCAGCAACAGTTTATTAGTTAACTACACATTTACTTTATGTGAATCTAACAAAACATTTGCTCACTGTGACACAGAACAATGCTTTCTAATATGCCTACCTAGATGACTTGATCGGGTGAAACTCTTCTCACACTGAGTACAGTACGGCTTCTCTCCAGTATGAACTCGCTTGTGTGATTTCAGAGTTCCAGCCCGAGTGAAACTCTTGTCACAATATGAGCACTTGTAAGGTTTTTCTCCAGTATGAATTTGTTGGTGCTGTTTCAGATAGTCAGCTCTAGTAAAGCTCTTCCCACAGTCAAAGCACATATAATCTCTCACTTCACTGTGTGTTTTCTGGTGCTGTTTAAAACAGTTTGGTCGTGAAAAACTCTTTCCACAGAGAGAACACACATAAGGCTTCTCATCTGAATGAACTTTCAGGTGTTTTTTTTTTATTTGATGATGAAATAAAATCTTTACCACACTGATCACAGTTAAACGACTTTTCTCCAGAGTGAATGAGCAGATGATAACTGAGACCTGATGCATGAGAATAACTCTTTCCACACTGAGTGCATGTATACGGTTTCTCTCCAGTGTGAATTCTCATATGTGAGTTAAGGCCTTCTTTCCGTGTGAAACTCTTTCCACACTGAGTGCAGGTGTGCGTCTTTTTGTCTTTGAATTGTAAAGTTATGATGTTCCTCCTCCACTTCATTCAGTTCTTGTCTTTGCTCTTTCTCTCTCACCTGGTCTAAAATACACAGAAATACAGTTAGAATCAGTTCAAGTGAACCCTTATTTAATAGCAGAAAACAACAGAGATCAGGTCTTTAATTTTTTGTTTTGTCATTCACTTGTTAAAGCTGCTGTCCGTAACTTTTTTAAGTTAAAAATAATCCAAATTAATTATTTAAAAAAAACATCTTCAGCCAGTGTTCAAAACTATCTGCTTGCCATAGCTAGATTCAAAACGGTTAGCTTGTAATAATGATTTTAATTCCAGTGGTACTGGTGGGTTTTCGCAGGAAATTCGAGCATGTCTTTGCGTCATTACGTCACATCCGTACACATAAAGAAGGAGTTTCGGCTAGCCGGCTATACTGCGCGTGAGATGTAGAGATAGGCTTTTCTCGCAGCACTTTACATGATTAAACTTATGGCGGATCCAGAAAGATCCAGACAACAATCATCAGTGTCAACTGGAGATTAACCAGTTATAAAACCCAAAAGAGTTCGTACTTCGGATTTAAGGTGGAGAGAGAAAGAAACCGTCTCATGCGAACACAAGGATACACAGTGGTGGGGCTTTTGAAAGGTGCGTGAACTCCCGAAGGGCTTCGAAACGGAAGAAGAGACGGCTTTTTTCTGCTGAACAAGTAAGACATTTCAATAGTTCAATCGTGTAACAGTACGTTTTCTTAATTCACACAGTTATGGAGTTTCCTTTGGTGTGCCTTTCTCGTTTAACATTAGCTATTATGGAGAATATGAATTCTGAACTACACAGGTAACGTTAATCATAAAACACATTAAATAACGTTAGTCACGCAATGCTGATGTTGTTAACATGAACAATTTGAGAACAAAGTAGGCTATGATTTGCACGGTTGCTGTAAATCGCGCTGATTAAATCTAACGATCGCTTGTCATGTCGAATGCTTTTCCCCCCTTAGTTGATCAGAACAAAAATGGATGTTACTTACTTGTTCAGAAGACATTTTCCAGTGAAAATTCTTATGTTGGTCAAACTTTCAAAAATGAATCTGTGATTCTGTATGACAGCATCCACACAGCGCGGTGACTGACAGCAGCACTCGCCTCAAAACACTGTGTTCATCCGCGCTGTTTCATGCCAATTTACAACCCACGTAAAGATGATAATTCCGCGAATCACTGCAGTTACAGATTTCGAACAGAGATGGCGACAAAAAGGGAAAAAGCTACGGACTGCAGCTTTAATATATTAAAAATATGTTTGCCAACTGCTATATACAAGGTTATGATCATTTGGATGTATTTCTCGATTATTTATCATCCATATACTGCTTATTAATTCACATCTACCAAAGCATCAACAGTGAAGAATCACAAATGGCCACCAACCTGTTTGTTCCTCAGTATCTTCATGTTTTATTCTGGATGGTTCTGGATCACTCATGTCTTCAATCTCCTCTTTAATAAACTCCATCTTTAACAGTCACACAGATTTCAGCTGCTACTCCTGGAGTTTGTCCTTCTCTTGTAGGATGATGGGAATATTCCCAGTATTTATTGGTGAATTGTTGTGGGAGGGGCTTCGCTGCAGGTGTGAACTGTGATCACTGTGTTTTTATCCAATCTGCATTTAAAAAGTACAGGGCCATCATGTTTAACTGAGCAGCTGAAAAACCTCTTAGTCTCCAAAAGTTCCCTGTTTTCAGCTCATTCATTATGGTGATGTCTGAGATCTTCAGTAAATTGGCACATTAAATCGTTTTATAGACCAATTTCCAGCCGACGTCACAGTTACGTCACGGCGCTAGCTGGTGGCAGAACAAAGGGAAAACTGGAGGCGGCAAATACAAACCAGCACAGATTCGGCTACAAAATAAGGATCTTAAATTATTCTTCTTATTATTAAATGTCATCTTGTTGTGTTGTTGGGTGCAAGAATCAATGAAAAATGAATATGCTTTATCTGCAATTTTTTATTTCTAGAAAATATTCACCTCATTAAAATTGCACCGTAATGTCCCTCTTTACATTGTCGTCTTCTCGGCGCTGGCTCGGCAGAACTGCGGATCGTACCACACAAGTCTTGTACATGACCATTCAGCACATAGTTATAGGCATCTAAAGATTTATATGCCCTCTGTTTCTCTATCAGGTAGGTGTAGAAGTCAGGCCACTCAACCGGAGGTAGCGTTAACGTTAATCCTGTCAGATCCTCAATCAATGAGTGTAAGGGTCGGCCAATCTGGTTCCATCCGTTAAAATTAACTTTTGCAAAAAACAATCGTGGTCCTGGACAGTGAGTGGCCTTGCACATTAAGATAAAATCGGATTTTCTCCAGTCATTGTTAAAAACAAGCTAACAAAACTTGCAGACTTTACGTTAGTGAAGCGGCCAGAGGGATCGTTCTGCCACCACCTAAGCTCCGCCCACAGAAAAACGTCACCATGTTTACCAACTGAAAATTGGTCTATTGGTGTCAACAGGCTGAAACAAACTACAGCATCATCACCTTTCACTTCAGTTCTTGTCTTTGCTCTTTCACTTCCATCTGGTCTGAAATAAACATATTAAAACATATTAAGTTGTTAGAATGAGTTCTGGAGGGATACATGTGAATTTTCAAGTGAACTCTGATTTAATATCAGAAAACAAGAGACATTTGTTTATCAGATATCAGATCCTCTTGTTAATAGTAAAAATGTGAATGACATCTGCTGTAAGATTATGATTTAAGTGCATTTATGTCATTTATTCCTAGATTATTTGATTATTTTTCACAGCTCTTATCAGGTATCTAATATACACAGTGGTGTGCCTGAATGCGTTCCCTGGGTCTCATTCATGAAACACGAGCAGAACGAATTTTTGTGTAAATCGTGTGTAAACTGGTTCTGGTGTAAATTTTCGGATTCATTAAAATGTTCGTATTTTCCAAATGTTAGTTGGTACGAAAGAAATCTACACCTGCTCCCAGCCACGCGTAAATAGTGCGTTTAACATCCGAACGTTTTTCTCATTAATAACTAAGGCTGCATTTTAATTCACCTTAATCGGGTACATATTTACACAGCATTTTGAACAAATATTATATATAGTAATTACATACGGTTTTTCTTTTTACTTTTTGGACTGTTTGATTAACAGATGAAACTCCATTAACTGCATCTGTAATATGCTGCCAAGTTTCCTTTTTTTATGACCTGATACGCCACCTACGCTTTAAAATAAAACGTGTGCTGCGTCCCAATTCGCATACTATCCGTCCTAAATAGTAGGCCTATTCGAAAATAGAATTAGTAGCCTACGATGAGTGTTCCAAAGAAACCCGGATGGTCTACTATATCCGGTCAGAATCCGAAGTGCAGATCGTTGCGGCTGATATTGCCGGTAGCCAGGGACGGTTCACGTCACGTCTGCCCAGCCAGAGACGGTTCACGCCACGTCTGCCCAGTCAGAGACGGTTCACGTCACGTCTGCCCAGCCAGAGACGGTTCACGTCACGTCTGCCCAGCCAGAGACTGTTCACGTCACGTCTGCCCAGCCAGAGACGGTTCACGTCACGTCTGCCCAGCCAGAGACTGTTCACGTCACGTCTGCCCAGCCAGAGACGGTTCACGTCACGTCTGCCCAGTCAGAGACGGTTCACGTCACGTCTGCCCAGCCAGAGACTGTTCACGTCACGTCTGCCCAGCCAGAGACGGATCAGGAGAACCCCATTCTCGGGGCCGCGGGGGCACTGACCGACTATTTGGAGCGTCTGGCTCGGATCCTGGAGAGGCCCTTCAGACCTTTCGTGTCCGTGTTTCCAGAGCCGGAGCCGGTGTCTGTTCCTTTTGCTGTTCCTGAGCCGGAGCAAGTGTCTGCTGTTCCTGAGCCGGAGCCGTTGTCTGCTGTTCCTGAGCCGGAGCCGTTGTCTGCTTTTCCTGAGCCGGAGCCAGTGTCTGCTGTTCCTGAGCCGGAGCCAGTGTCTGCTGTTTTAACGAACGAAATGAACGAATTGACTCGGAAAAAGATTTGTTCATTTTGATGAACGAGTTCGAACAGGAGATTCACACAAAACAGAGCAAAGCGAGCATTTGAGCTTATAAAACTTAAACTTTGTTATTTCTTTTTTAAATGAGCGATCGTTTCGCTTGATAAGACCCTTATTCATCGTCTGGTGTCGTTTAAAGCCATTTGAACAGTTTGCAGTTTGCACTGAAACTGTCTTTTGGACCTTGAACCGTTTGCTGCCCAGCAAAGTGCATTATATGGAGAAAAATCCTGGAATATTTTCATCAAATACCTTAATTTCTTTTCGACTGAAGAAATAAAGACATGGACATCTTGGATGACATAGGGGTGAGTAAATTATCAGCAAAAGTTTTTTTTTAAAGTGAACTAATCCTTTAACTCCTCTTCCTGCACTTGAGTCCTCTATCCTTTCCACTATCCAGCCGTGACAAACGTTGGTTAGCGCAGGGTTGCCCGAGGAGGACGAGAAAGTGGACTTGCGCAGCACGTCGCACACGCTACACTCCTTAATTTGTACACCATGCAGGCATAGGCGTAATTTGCAGAGATGGGGGACTCGAGTCACATGACTTGACTCGAGTCAGACTCGAGTAGCAAATTTAAGGACTTGAGACTTGCTTGACTAAATTAAGAAAATGACTCGACTTGACTTTGACTTGAGATCCAATGACTTGAGACTTGACTTGACTTGAACTGTATGACTCGAGAATGACTTGATATACATTTTTATATAAATCATCGCAACATCCATTGATAAACAAAATGAAAGCAACGGAACCATTGACGTCAGTCATCAGATTCTGCGCGATTGCGTGACGCTGCACAAGCCCAGAAATAGCCTACATCGCGGTGAGGGCGCTAAAAACAAAAACATCTCCCAGCAACGTTTCTTTTTGGATATAAACACTAGAAAATGACAATATTCATGCAAGAAGATTTGTTGTACGCATAATAACTGGCAAGGGATATCGGACGACCATCACAACCTCGAACAGTCGAACTTCATTCATCACGTCTAAAAGTAAGCTATGGCTTGTTTAACCTGTTTGTTATAGTTAATTTGACTATCTTTAAATCTAGAGAGAATAATATTGGTCAAAACAGCATGCCTCTTTATACACAAATGTTTTCAAATGTAGCTTAATGTTGTCAATATTCAAATGATAATTAATGATGTTATATGTTTTGTATAACATTTGCCACATTTCTTTTTAAATCATGCTTTAAAGCCAAAAATGTTGTTCTTTCCAATGACGAAAAACAATATAGAAAACTGTTAGTTTTGTCGTTTATGTTTCTCTTAATGTTATCAGGGGGTTGGTGGCAAAAAATGCCAGACAGAATTAATATGCACCCAAAATTCAAAATGTGGTGGAAAAATGGCCCTAGTATGAGTTATTGAGATTATTGGCGCGATTGCAAATGTGATGATTTTGTAAAAGAGTTCAGTAAACAAAGAGTGAATATTGTGATGTGACATTTTAGACATAATATTCCAAATATTCTCTGTTTTTGCTCTATTTCTCCAATGACAATAGTTCCAAACAAGCCACAGAAAGAGTTATGCGTATTTGTGATTCAGTGACCTAGTTGCTTAGTTCCAGAACGAATCTGTCATTTTGAACAAATCAGTTGACTGCTTCTAGGACTCGTACATTAAGACGGTGATTTGGCGCTTTTAACTTCATATTGGCGGTTTTAACTTCATAATAGGCTAAATGCCAACGGCTGTTATATAACTTATATAAAGGGGATGCCAGTTTGAAGAATGCCATTTGGTGGCATAGGAACCATTATACTTGAATTGTGAATTGTTTAATACCTTTTAATGGTCTTCTGTGTGTTTGAGGCATATTTATTTTGTCATGCTTTAATGTTGGCCTAATTTCAGTTACATTTACATTTTAGGCTATGTAGTTTGAAATTGTATTTATTTTTTAGATTTGTATTGTAGTAACCACTCAGCTGTATGTGGAAATGCATATTTAAAACAAATATGTTGAAAATAAAACCATAGTCCACAACTTATGTAGTTTTAACTTATTTATATTAATATATAAATTATATTAATATATAAATTATTATATTAATATATAAATTCAGTGAAATCATCTAACGTTTGTATGACTTGCCAGTGACTTGTGACCCAAGCTACGACTTGACTTGACTTGCTTGACATAAGGCAGTGACTTGACTTGACTTGCTTGACATAAGGCAGTGACTTGACTTGACTTGCTTGCTTTTATAAAAAATTGACTTGGACTTGCTTGAGACTCGAAGGTTAAGACTTGAGACTTGCTTGTGACTTGCACATGTGTGACTTACTCCCACCTCTGGTAATTTGCGGTTGGAACATGTCCCCACCACTTTTTGCCAGGGTTTATATTGTCCCCACCAAAAACATCTCACGGCACGGATGTACCAATACAAATAAATAAATCATCTCCAGTTAACTAGCAGAGCATTAATTTCATTATTTTGTTAAATAAAATGAGATCTAGCGCTAAAATGTGTTGTTTTTTTAAATCAAGTGATCAAAGTGCTTGTTGCCGCTGCGATCAGTGGTGCGGATACAGTGTTCTCTTATGGCTCGCGCACATTCTTCTCTGGGAGACTCTAATTCGTTCCAGTGAAATCACAAAGCAAATTGCACACAAACGTTTCCCTGCTTGATATACAACCACTGATTAACATACTCGGTTTTGATGAGGAAAAAAAAACTGTAAAAGTGTGGATTAGAACCCATAACCTGTGACATGCATGGCAAAAATTCTGCCACTGGACGATCTATAAAACATTTAAGTAACGCTTTAGATTACAGCCCGGAAAGTACTGTGTAATTAAGAGGAATTTACAGAGTAACTTTCGGTAATTATAGTGTACCTATAAAGTACTTGCATGTAAGTATAAGGGAACAATATGTAAAGTTTGGGGAATAAAGGGGTAACAACCAGGAGAATTAAAAAAATATTTATACTGTAAGTATTATAGAACTAAGGGGTACTTATTTTACTATTATGATATAACAATCTTACATTTGGGAGCAATTTAGCGAGAACACTGCGTACCTTTTTGTAATAATTGTGTACCAATACATACTGTATAGGATTTTTTTTTAATTACAGGGTACATATCTATGCATTTATACTTTTATTTATTTATTTTTTGATAGCAAAAGTGCAGATGTTTAAGTTTGGGCCAACGTATTTCAAGGCAAGAAAAGCTAAGACTATTGCCATTTTTTTTTAAATACTGGGAAATATATCTTGTTTCATGTGGTTACAGGGTAAGTGGTACTTGTATAATAAATAAAGGTTTCCGAGTCAGTGATATAAGATTGTGTGTATGCATTTTTATTGTTACCCTGTAACTAAATGGAACAAGAGGGTAACAAGCTACATGAAACAAGAGTATCTTTCCACAATATTTAAGCAAAAGTTGCAATAGTTTTCGTTTTCAGTGCACTTTTGTTAAAAATATTACATTTTAAAAATTACAGGGTACGCAGTATATGTTCTTGCTAAATTGCTCCCAAATGTAAGATTGTTGTATCATAATAGTAGAATAAGTACCCCTTAGTTCTATAATACTTACAGTATAAATATTTTTTTAATTCTCCTGGTTGTTACCCCTTTATTCCCCAAACTTAAAATATTGTTCCCTTATACTTGTAAGTACATTATAGGTACACTATAATTACCGAAGGTTACGCTGTAAAATTGCTTTAATTACGCAGTACTTTCCGGGCTGTAATCTAAAGCGTTACCAACATTTCCCACTGAACACACATGTAATACGCAAATATAACATTAAATCATTTTGTTTTAATCACAGCACAGCACTTACATATTGTTGTTTGACTGCTTCTATTGCTCTCCTCATTTGCTAAATCAGTGGTTCTCAACCGAGGGGGCGCGGACACTCTCCCGGGGGGGCGCGAGTAGACTACAGGATGGGAGGATAAAAAAACAAAAAACAAAAAAATTCACATTTATAACCTCTGAACTTAATAAAAAGTGCTTAAAGGATCCCATAAGTTCCAGCAAGAACTGCAAAGATTGTCAATGCTCCACCAGTAACCCTACTATAGGAGAAAGAGCTTTGAGGCATTTCAAGTACATTTTTAAGTTCATTGAGTATCCGCCAGGATATTTGAGGAACTTTTTGTTTTTACAGTGTACACACACACACGAGTCATGGATGATTTTATGAATGGTTTCAATTAGTTCAAATGCATGATGATCACTGACTGTTTGACTTAGTTTATATAGAAATATTGTTAGATGCCAATCAAAATAGCTGTGAAAATAAGCTGTGCAATTAATCTAGGAATATATGACATAAATGCACTTAGATCATAATCTTGTACAGCAGTTGTCATTCACGTTTTGACTATTAACAAGAGGATGACAAAACTAACCTTTGGTACAACAAAAATATGATATTTGATAAACAGATCTCACTTATGAAATCAGGGTTCACTTGAAAATTCACATTTATCCTCCAGAACTCATTCTAACAACTTAATATGTTTTAATGTTTCAGACCCGATGGAAGTGAAAAAGCAAAGACAAGAACTGAAGTGAAAGGTGATGATGCTGTAGTTTGTTTCAGCCTGTTGACACCAATAAAACGATTTAATGTGCCAATTTACTGAAGATCTCAGACATCACCATAATGAATGAGCTGAAAACAGGGAACTTTTGGAGACAAAGAGGTTTTTCAGCTGCTCAGTTAAACATGATGGCCCTGTACTTTTTAAATGCAGATTGGATAAAAACACAGTGATCACAGTTCACACCTGCAGTGAAGCCCCTCCCACAACAATTCACCAATAAATACTGGGAATATTCCCATCATCCTACAAGAGAAGGACAAACTCAAGGAGTAGCAGCTGAAATCTGTGTGACTGTTAAAGATGGAGTTTATTAAAGAGGAGATTGAAGACATGAGTGATCCAGAACCATCCAGAATAAAACATGAAGATACTGAGGAACAAACAGGTTGGTGTCCATTTGTGATTCTTCATTTTGGACTGCTTTGGTTGATGTGAATTTACAAGCAGTATATGAATGAAAAATGATACATCCAGATGATCATAACCTTGTATATACCAGTTGTCAAACATATTTTTACTATATAAACAAGTGAATTACAGAACAAAAAGTGAAAGATCTGATCTTTGTTGTTTTCTGCTATTAAATAAGGGTTCACTTGAACTGATTCAAACTGTATTTCTGTGTATTTTAGACCAGGTGAGAGTGAAAGAGCAAAGACAAGAACTGAATGAAGTGGAGGACGAACATCGTAACTTTACAATTCAAAGAACAAAAGTCAAAGAGACGCACACCTGCACTCAGTGTGGAAAGAGTTTCTCACAGAAAGGAAACCTTAACACACACATGAGAATTCACACTGGAGAGAAACCGTATACATGCACTCAGTGTGGAAAGAGTTTTTCTCAATCATCAGCTCTCAGTGTTCATCTGCTCATTCACTCTGGAGAAAAACTATTTAACTGTGATCAGTGTGGAAAAGATTTTATTTCATCATCAAAACTAAAACAACACCTGAAAGTTCATTCAGGTGAGAAGCCTTATGTGTGTTCTCACTGTGGAAAGAATTTTTCAAGGCTGGACAGTTTTAAACAGCACCAGAAAACACATAATGAAGTGAGAGATTATATGTGCTTTGACTGTGGGAAGAGCTTTACTACAGCTGTGAATCTGAAACTGCACCAAAGAATTCATACTGGAGAAAAACCTTACAAGTGCTCATATTGTGACAAGAGTTTCACTCGGTCTGGACACCTGAAATCACATGAGCGAGTTCATACTGGAGAGAAGCCGTACCACTGTACTCAGTGTGAGAAGAGTTTCACCAAATCAAGTTATCTAGTGACTCATATTAGAAAGCATTGTTCTATGTCACTGTGAGCAAATGTTTTGTTAGATTCACATAAAGTAAATATGAAGTTAGTTAACTAATAGACTAGTGTTGCTGTGAATGCCACAAGATTTGTGTTTTATATGTTGGAGAACAAGAATATCATTGAAAATTATTTTGATTGAACGCTTACTCAAAGAAATACCAAAATGAAAAGAGACGGGCAAGAAATGCAGAAAAACAACATCAGTTATTTGTTAAAAAATTAAACAAATCCCAGAATTTGATCAGGTTATTTTTTTAAGTTACATAAAGCTAATTGTTACATATACAGATGTATGTACAATAACAACAAATAAAATTACCATTTCACTGACAATGTGTGATTTTGAGGTTTCTACAGATCCAATAATTAAAATAAACTGAGATTCAGATAAAGCAAACATAGTGAAATACATTTTAATTCTGTGACGTTAGTTTTGTGGAAGTTGGTTTAATTTGTAACTTTCATTTAGCTGTCAGTGTAAGGCAGTTATTTGTCTCTAGTAAAACAACAACAATAAAATTGTCATGAGATCAAATAGGCCGATGCTCATGGCTTTACTTCAAGTTGCTCTCTCAGTGTGTGTTGGAGTGAGCTCTAAGGTGAGTGTGAGTTTTTTTAATCTATTTTTCTATCTTTTCTGGTTTTGTTGTTTGGTAAATAGAGGAAAGTTTGTAGATCACTATGGCAGCGTCTCAGCACGCGAGTTTGGAAAGTTTAACGCGGTAGCAAAGCGTTAAGGTAGTACCCACATAGCGGCTTCTGGCTGAGTCGCTAGAGTGATTCACCTAAGACAATAAAAGCATTATTAATAGCCTGTAGAGAAATACAAAACAGTACTAGCAAAGACACATTGAGCTATTTGATGCATGTAGCCAATCAGGTGTACAATGTGGTTGGAAGTGGGCTGGGGATGGATGGGCGTACCTGCATTCTACACTGATTTGTCCACAACACCAGTAAACTCACTCCCTTCATATACACAACACACTGCCCCCAGCCCCCACAGTTGAGATAAGTCTGCAGAGTGCATGCGGGAAAGTGCATCTAGTTTGGTGTTCTTGTTACCTGGACAGTAGGTAACTTTAAGCGTGTGAAGAACAAAGCCCACCTGGGCCCACCTGACCAGAGTATGTGAGTGGAGTGGGAGCGGAGTGATTTTGAATGGAGTGCGGAGCGGATTTTTTAAAAGTCGGAGCGTCGTGGTTTTCATTCGCTCCGAGAGCGCTCCATCACGAGTACAATTCATGCCAACTCCTCATTATAGAACTGCATTTTTAGTAAGGATTCACACGTTAAACGCATTACACTAGTGTTACGGTCCTTAGGCCGTGCGTGTGTGTGTGTGTGTGTGTCTGTCAAGGTGTACTGCTGCTTGTTTGGTTTGTCTTCTGCAGGTCCTGTGTGCACCTGCCTCCAGTTGGCAATTAGCTAGTGTGCACACCTGTCCCCAGTTGGTAATCAGCGGGAGCTGGTACAAAGAGCAGAGAATGGGCAGACTGTTGAAGTGAGAGCGTGGAGAGCGGACGTATCAAGACAGACGGCTTACCCAGTGGTGTAGTGGTGCCTGGAGAAGTGGGTATACTCTTAATTTATGCCCCCAATATTTTTTTTAAGCGTCCCAGCAAAGGATGAACGCTCTTTGTTATAGACAGTGCACTGAAAAAAATGATTATGACCCCTTGTAAATGTTACATGTTTTTATCTGGTTAATTTCACTGATTTTAATGTGTTATTTAATCCTACTTATTTTTTATGATTAATTTTAAAATTCACTGCCAATGTTTAAAACAAGTTAATTTCATTCAATTAAAAGTAATTAGAAAAAAATACGTTCAATTTAATTTCCATATACAGTCAGGTCTGCGCATGTGCAGACCCATTTTGTCCTGAAGGCGCCAAGACGAGCAGTCGAGCGTGACGCACTTTTTTAAATGCTGAATCCAGCTCTGCATTTTCGGTAAGTAAGCAATTTATAATCACACTTTAAAACATTTGATAGAAAAAAATGTGTTTATCTAATGTTAAGTTTGTGTCTTTCTATACATTACATTAGGTTAGCTAAGGTTACATCGCCTAGCTTGTAGTTAAATTAACTTCTTAAGTGTAAGTTAAATGCGTGGATAATTCAGTTTGTCTTGTTAGACTTATTTATAGTTTTTGGTAACGTTAGCCGAATAAAAGCAAAACAGTTTTGCGAATAACGTTAATTGTTCACCTTCCTGTCTGTCTAGGTTTGAAACGTTAGCCTGGCCAAGCCTAACGTTATTCCTGACTGGCTGTAAGCATGTTTTCTAATCTTGTCAATGTGTTAAGATTAGGACAAAATATATCTGTGGCGTAAGTTAGCTAACATTAGGTGCCGAATCTTTACCGTTTCTTTAAAAGTTTGTATTTTTTTCACACCCGTAGACCCGCCCTAACTCTGCCGCTGACTAACGGCTCTGGCTTCGACCAAAGAGGCTCCGACCGACCGTGATGTTCCTGTGACTTGCGCAAAACGAAGCCATTTTGTTCTGAAGGCGCCAAGGGGAGCAGTCGTACGTGACGCACTCTTTTAAATGCTGCATCTAGCTCTGCAGTTTCGGTAAGTAAGCAATTTATAATCACACTTTAAAACATTTGATAGAAAAAAAAAAGTGTTTAGCTAATGTTAAGTTTGTGTTTTTCTATACATTAGTATATTAGTAGCTAAGGTTACATGGCCTAGCTTAACGTGAGTTGTGTAACGTTTGGGTTAGTAACGTTAAATTGACTTGGTTTAAAGTTAAATGTGTGGAAAATTCAGTTTGTCTTGTTAGACTTATTTAGTTTTTGGTAGCCGAATTAAAGCAAAACAGTTTTGCGAATGTAAACGTTAGCTTCACCTTCCTTGCTGTCTGTCTAGGTTTTGAAACTTACGTTAGCCTGGCCAAACCTAACGTTATTCCTGACTGGCTGTAAGCATGTTTTCTAATCGTGTCAATGTGTTAAGATTGGAACAAAATATATCTGTGAAATCGTGTTTGTAAAAGGTGGTTAATGTGCACTGACGGCAAGAGTTTATGCTTCTAACGTTACATAATGGCAGACCTAGGTAACATTAGGTGCCGAATTACACAGATGGCTGATCACAATGCTCTTTTTCTTCTGTTGTTGTTGTTGTTTTTTGTGTGTAATAGATAAATGCTGAATTCCAGCGCATAACAACAGTCCCACTTGAAACAACCTTCATGGCTCAGTTGGACAGCCATTTACCCAAGCTGACATCTATTTTCAACAATAAGGGAGGTGTTTCTGGCCAAAAACTAGCCAAACATCTGGCAATCTTGCAAGAGGTAAAAATGTTTTTACATTATAGTAGAAAATATCATATACACTGTGGAGAAACACTGTACACTGTCTAGTGCCAGCTAGTGTTGTTTTTCGCGGCCTGTTTTAATTTTAGTTTTAGTCTAGTCTTTGTGTCAAGCTGACATTTTAGTTTTTGTTAGTTTTAGTCCCGTTCATACTCTTTTTAGTCTAGTTTTAGTCGACGAAAACCGATGACATTTTAGTCTAGTTTTAGTTGACGAAAGACATAGTCTAGTTTTAGTCAATGAAAATTGTATTTTAGTCTCTTTTTAGTAGGCAATTCTATTTAACCCAGTCATTATATAAGTAGCCAACCTAGTAGTAGGCTTAGTTATACATTTAGTTACAGTGGTGTGAATAAGTTATAACATGCTAAAGTTGCCTAAAAAGAGGAATAAAAAATCATCTTTTGGAAGTTGATCTTAAAGGGATACTCCACTTTTTTTGGAAATAGGCTCATTTTACAACTCCCCCAGAGTTAAACTGTTGAGTTTTACCGTTTTTGAATCCATTCAGCCGATCTCCGGTTCTGGCGGTACCACTTTTAGCATAGCTTAGCATACATCATTGAAGTGGACAAGACCATTAGCATTTCTCATTAAAAAATGACCAAAGTGTTTCGATATTTTTTCTATTTAAAACTTGACTCTTCTGTAGTTACATCGTGCACTAAGACCGACGGAAAATGTAAAGTTGCGATTTTCTAGGCTGATATGGCTAGGAACTATACTCTTATTCCTGCGTAATAATCAAGAAACTTCACTGCCGTACCATGAGAGCAGCAGGCGTAATGATATGAAGCAGCGCCTGAAAATAGTTCCGTTGTGTTGACGGAAGGTGGCCTATTTTCAGGCGCTGCGTCATATCATTACGCCTGCTGCTCTCATGGTACGGCAGTGAAGTTTCTTGATTATTACGCAGGAATGAGAGTATAGTTCCTAGCCATATCAGCCTAGAAAATCGCAACTTTACATTTTCCGTCGGTCTTAGTGCACGATGTAACTACAGAAGAGTCAAGTTTTAAATAGGAAAAATATCGAAACACTTTGGTCATTTTTTTAATGAGAAATGCTAATGGTCTTGTCCACTTCAATGATGTATGCTAAGCTATGCTAAAAGTGGTACCGCCAGAACCGGAGATCGGCTGAATGGATTCAAAAACGGTAAAACTCAACAGTTTAACTCTGGGGGAGTTGTAAAATGAGCCTATTTCCAAAAAAAGTGGAGTATCCCTTTAATGCCTTAAATAGAAAAATGAGGAAAAATCCAACCTTTAAGGACACAAATTTTCTTTGTGTATGAATAATGTATCATAAATAAATAAATGTTCTTCCCTAAAATACAGGGTGCATAAGTCAGGCCCCCCCTATGTTAAATTCCCATAGAGTCAGGCAGATTTTTATTTTTAAAGGCCAGTTATTTCATGGATCCAGGATAATATGCATCCTGATAAAGTTCCCTTGGCCTTTGGAATTAAAATAGACCCACATCATCACATTCCCTTCACCATACCTAGAGATTGGCATGGGGTACTTTCCATAAGATCATCTTTCAATGCAAATCAAACCAGCTATTAGGCTAACTGAAATAACACCATGCCAATCTCTAGGTATGGTGAAGGGAATGTGATGATGTGGGATATTTTAATTCCAAAGGCCAAGGGAACTTTATCAGGATGCATATTATCCTGGATCCATGAAATAACTGGCCTTTAAAAATAAAAATCTGCCTGACTCTATGGGAATTTAACATAGGGGGGGCCTGACTTATGCACCCTGTAGTTTAAGGAAGGACAGTTATTTATTTATGATACATTATTCATACACAAAGAAAATTGGTGACAAAAAAACCGAAGCATTGAGAA